GAACCGCAGGGACAGCCCCGGACAAGTCTCTCCAGTGGGATCAGCATTGAGGTACCTTAAATATATCTTTCATCTCTGGCTTTCTCAGCATCTCCTCCGTGACGACGTGGTCTGCGCCCAGGGCCATCAACCTCTCCACCAGCTTTGGGAGATCAGGTCTAGGGGAGGAAAATAAAAAGAAGACTCGATGATCCAGAAAGCAGAGTGTCACCTTCTCCTCCCTCCTGCCCAGACGTAGCTTGGGGACAACAGGGCAGAGGCTGGAGGATACCTTGGAGGAGCAAACAGGACAAAATCCTGGGTTGGATGCGCAGGATGGCCAGATACAGCTCTCAAACTTGCCTGACCTCATGCCAACCTCCAGCCCAGGCCAAGGGCAGCTCCTGCCCCGCAGGAGACCTTCTCCTTTCCCAGGGGACCCACCTGTCCCTCACCACGTTGATGGTCTTGATGCCAGAGGCTTTGGCAATCTGGATAACAGCCTGGCCCACGCCGCTGTTGGCGGCGTTCTGGATGATGGAGTCACCTGGATATAAATAAATCCAGATTTTCATTGCAGAAGCGACTGGCAAATCCACCTGGATTTCCTTCCACCCGGCAAAGCCTTACCCGGCGCCAGGGTCTCGAAGTCGGCCAGCATGCGGTATGCCGTGCAGGGGTTGACGCTCAGGGTGGCGGCGCACAGCACCGGGATGTCGCTGGGCACCTTCAGCAGCATCTCCTCGGGAAACACCCCCTGTGTCCGCCACGTCCCTGGGGGACCGGCAGCATCGCGGCCAGCGCGGGCAGAGCGGCAGGAAGGTGGGCAAGGAAAGGAAAATGTTATGAGACCTCAGCTCAGGCCATAGCCTTAACGCCGGTCGCTGCAGCATCACCACACCGTGCACCGTCTAAATCCTGGAGAGTGAATTATGAGACATTTTGCCGTATGGGTATGGCCAAAATATTGCGAGAGGCAGGGGATGGATCCCCTGCTGCCCACTGAGATTTATCACCGAGCAAAGTCTAATCATTTCCCAGAGGAAAATGGGAAATGGGCACAGGGAGTGTGTGCAGAGCTAATGGAAATACTCCCCATGCTACGGATGAGCCCATATAGTCAAAGCCAATTTACTTAGATTTAGTCTCTCTAAATTTAACCCCCTATCATTCATTTACTTTTTTTTAATGTTTAAAAATATCACATTTGGATCTTAACTAGATAGCTTTCCTTCTTCCATTAAGCAAAAAAGCCTTTTAAGAAGAAATAGGCAAGGAACAAGCTGTTACACTAAACCAGGATCGACAATTTTTCTGGCCATTGGCATTTTGGAGGAGCACAAGAGACATTTGTTGGAAAATAAATTCCCCTGCTTTCCCATCAGAGCACTATTAAGGAGAAAACTGTAATGAGATGTAACCATGACCTTGCACAGGTTAAATGCTTTATCCTGGGTCTTTAAAGAAGGTCTAAGTAGATGTGACAAAATGTGGTTGTTTCCAGAGAAGAACAGATTGCTGCGATGCTTTATAACGGCGCAGAAGCCCCATAAAAGGTCTATGCTATAGAAAAGCAGATTATTTCTAAACTCAAGTTTAGCATAGGCAATGGCATCGCTACCGCTCCTACTGCAAGTGCTCCGGGTTTTTGCATTGCATGTGTCCCGTGCACAGGAGCCCCTTCCCCGGGGACCCCCGTCCTTCCCCGGAGCCCCCCTGCATCCGCAGAGGACCAGCAGCATCACCCGCTGTGGCTGGGGATCAGGTATCGAGCTCGCGTTAAAAAAAAAAAACCACCAAACCATTAAAAATAAAAATACATGGCAGAAAGAATAAAACTTAAAACCAAGATATAAACAGGTAAGAAGTGAAGATGCCTTTGTGCAGCTCCAGCGGTTATCCCGATGCTTCTAGTCTGAGACAATCCAGCTCATTATATTTATGATTACGCTAATACGGCACTAAATGGGTTCCAACTGCTGCTTCCCTCGCGCGGAACATTCTCTAATGGAGCTTTTTTTTTTCCCCATTTTAAGTCACATCCAATTAGATGTAATTGCTGCAAGCGGGAGGGGCACGTGGCTCTACCCACACCCAGCAAAAATGGTGCTTTGGAGAGCAGCGGTTTTGCTCTGGGACCCCCAAAATCCCCACGACAGCTCCCCAAGCATCGGTTGGCATGAGAGCATGACCACAGGTTTGCTCTCCGTGCAGGCTTGGGCAGCTCCCGGCGGGCTCAAGCATCCCAAAAATCCCCCGAGAAGATGCTTTGCAGGCAGGGGGATGCAGAGGAGGACCTTGCCAGTGAGCAAGGATCCAGCGGTGCCGCGGCTCCTGGCACCGAGGATGCCGGGGTACGCACTTACCGAGGCCCGCCCCCGCCGGGA